AAAACCACTTATTGATTGAAGAAACTGGCTTTCTTCTTCGTTTCATGTTTACTTTTATATTTTTCACAAATATGACTAACATGAAAAAGTAAAAAATAAAATTAGATTAATTTAAACATTAAGAAGTTAAGATTGAAAACATTTTTGCAAAACCACTTATAATAGAACTGATTAGAAAAACTAGTTTTCTCCTTCATTCCATGTTTACTTTTATATTTTTCATAAATATGAATGAACATGAAAAAGTATAAAACAAAATTAGATTACTGTGAACATAAAAAAAAGATTGAAAATATTTTTTCAAAACCACTTATAATAAAACTCGTTAAAGAAATTGGCTTTCTTTCATTCCGTACTTACTTTTATGTTTTTCATAAATACGATTTTTCACCACTAAACTCTCATCGAGAATCTCATTTGGTAAAATGGTATCAGAGAAAAATTAGCATTCTCCTTCATTTTGACTTCTGCAATTCTGATTGTTTTTCTTCGCTTCATTAGTTTTTCATCTTATATAATTGATTCGAGTTTAAGTGAAGAATCAGCCTAGAAAAATTATAAAGGTTTTATGTAATTATAAAGATGTGAATAACAATTTTCTTTTCTTTTAGGTTTAGTCTTTACTTTTTTTTAAAGCTGCTTTCCTTTTTTGAAATATATAATTTTTACTTTTATTTTATTTTAATATATTCCTTTTTAGATATTGTAGTAGTTATATTTTCTTATTTTTTTTAGTAATTATGATATTTCCTAAATTTATATTTTATTTTTTAATTAAATCGCGATACATGTCAAAATCTTAACTGGAAAAATTGACATGTGTCACGATCATGTGAATTACTAACATATAAAATTTGAGAAAATTCGCTTTCTCTTTTATTTTTCTTCCACGATTCTGATTGTTTTTCATTGATTTATCAGTTTCTCATTTTATTCGTTTGATTCGAGTCTAAGAGAAAAATTAGCTTGGTAAAATTAAAAGATATTTTATATGTTCATAATAAGATGAGTAATATTTTCTACGCATCAACTTTATATAATAATAGATTAGAACTCATGTATACACAGGTTTAAAAATTGTTTTAAAACTTGTAAATAATAAATTAAAAACAAAAATAAATAACTTTATTTATATTTATTTCTGTATTTATATTCGATTTTTTGTTAGTAAAATGTTTATTACAAGTGGTAAATTTTGATTAATTGACTCACATATATTTTAATCATTTCAACTTAGACTGTGATCGCTATATACACTCATTTATATTAACTATTACATAACTGTTAAAAAGAAACTGAATATGAAAAAGTTAGAAAAACCAAATTAGGTCACTGTGAATATTAAAAATTAAGATTGAGAATATTTTTGCATGACCACTTCTAATAGAATTGAATGAAAAAATTGGCGTTCTCCGTCGTTTCATGTTTATTTTTGTATTTTTTACAGATATGACTAACATGAAAAAGTAAAAAAAAAACAAAATTACATCATTGTGAACATTGAAAAAGTAAGATTGATAATATTTTCGCAAAATACTTATAATAGAAATGAGTAAAAAAACTGGAATTCTCCTTTCTTCCGTGTTTACTTTTATATTTTTCACAAATATCAATGAATATGAAAAATTATAAACAAAATTAGATCACTGTGAACATAAAAAAAAAAATAAGATTGAGAATATTTTCGCAAAAGTACTTATAATAAAACTGATTAAAGTAATTGACTTTCTCTTTCATTCTGTATTTATTTTTATATTTTTCACAAATATGATTTTTCTTTAACAAACTCTCATCGAGAATCTCATTTGATAAAATAGTATGAGAGAAAAATTGGTTTTCTCTTGTTTTTCCTCACTTTATTAGATTTTCATCTTATACAAATGATTCGAGTTTAAGAAAAAAATATCCTAGAAAATTAGAATTATTTTTATGTATTTATAAATAAAAATAATTTTTTTATTCTTTTAGGATTAGTCTTTACTTTTTTTTAAAACTGTTTTCATTTTTTTGTTAAAATAGATAATTTTTTTTTCAATATATTCCCTTATTTATATATTGTAGTAGTTATAGTTTTTTATTTATTTTTTAATTTTTTAATAATTATGATTTCCTAAATTTATGTTTTAATTTTAATTAATCGTGATACATGTCAAAATCTTAATCGAAAAACTTGACATGTGTCACAATCATGTTAATTACTAATATATAAAGTTTGCTACATATGTCAAAGAAAAATTGGCTCTTTCCTTTATTTTTCTTCTGAAATTCTGATTGTTTTTCATCGATTCATCAATTTCTCATCTTTTTCGTTTGTTTCGGGTTTAAGAATAAAATCAGTTTAGTAAAATTATGAGAGATTTTATATGTTTATAAAGATGTGAGTAATATTTTCATTTTTCTTTTTGGATTAGTATTTAATTTTTTGAGAAAAATTTTCTTTTTTTAAATGAAATATATTATTATTATTTTAAATGTATTTCTTTTTTTAGATATTATAGTGGTTATATTTTCTTATTTTTTAATAATAGTGATATTTCCTAAATTTAAATTTATTTTTAATTTAATTGCGATAAGTGTTAAAATTTAAATCAAATAATTTATTACATGTCGGAATCATATAAATTACTAACTTTAATGCATTCAGCTTTATATAATAAAATATATATGATGATGATGAATGTTGCACATGAGCACACCGCTTATTTTTATTCAAAATATTATAATTAAGTAGTTAGAATTTGAAAAATTATCATTATATATGCACTGTACTTATGATCATTGTCATTCAATTTAATAAAAAAATCATTGCCATTCAAACTTTATTACATATTGTTTTTTTTTACATTAACTGTACAATATTTTTTTCGCATATATCACAGTTCAACTGTACCGCACTCCTCAATTTATTTTTTTTCCGCACTGTTCAATACATTGTCACTATTCGAAACCACAATTTACGAAACTTAAATCATGATTTCGATAGGAAAGACAATAGTATGAATTAAATAAACACGCCAACGATATAATAAGATTTATATAAATATGGTGAGATTAGAGATTGTATATGTACATTCAAACTATATTACTGACTTTTTTATACATCAACTGTCTTTTAAGCTTGGACACGGAGCGGATATCCGGAATTTTAATGATATCCGTGATCCGCTCCGTCCGTCCGGATCAACAATTTTTTGATCCGTGTTTGCTTTGTTATTAATCGGATATCCGGTATTCGGATATCCGTTAAAATCCGGATTTTTGAACGGATATCCGATCCATTATAAAAATATTAAATTAATTATAAAATAATTAAAAATATTTATAAAAATAATTAAAAAGTCAAAAATTAACTCATATATTATCAAATTTATCAAACTTTTAGCAAATCATAAATATTAAAATTTATCAAATTTTTATATTAAAATAAGTAATAAAATAAATATAAATTCTCAAAAATTTACATTTAATTATATTAACTATATATTCTGTATGTAGTTATTTATATATACACATATATATATGTATATCAGAGCGGATCGGATATCCGGCTCTTAAAATTTTAATATTTATGATTTGCTCCGTTTTTAACAGATATCAAAATTTAGTATTTGCTTTGCTTCGTAAAGTTACGGATATCCGAATTTTTTGAATCGAATCGAAGTAAATAGCAGATCGAATCAAATCTAACATAATATATTTTCGCACATACCACATTTCAACTCCACTGCGCTCTTAATTTATTTAGCCCGTACTGTTCAGTCTGCTCAATACATTGTCAATTTTCTGAGGCCACAATTTATAAAAGTACACTAAAACCTTTATAAATTAATACTTTATTCATTAATATCTTGATAAATTAATATTTTTTGTCAGTCATAAAATTAGTTTGTCAATCAATTCATATATCTATACTTTAATAATTACTATAAATTAATAATTTTTTTATAAACTTTCAAAGTCCCAACATTATTAATTTATAGAAGTTTTACTGTATAAATTTTGATTTCGATAGGATAGGAACAACATTAGTATAAATTAAATAAACACATCTCTGATAATATATATATATATATATATATATATATATATGTGGTGGTATTTTAATGAATTTTGGTACGAACAATTTGCTGTACACAACATAACATTCTTAGTTAATTAAATTTATTAAATTTTTAGTATGTTTAAGCTAATTTTAAAATATATTATTTTATGAAATTTAACTGTAGCAAAAATATTATTGGAGGGTGATCCATAAACAAACGAGTGAAGGATGAATTTAATTGTATACATCAAAGTCTAACATAAAATAGAATAACCTTACAATATAAAAACATCAAATTTATAGTGCAACGATTGTGTGATCTTATCCCTCACTATCTTCAGATCCGACATAATTTTCACCCTGAACTTGTTGATCTCTTCTTCTTCGCCGCCATTTCCGACATAAGAACCATAATTCGTTGACTTATTCTCTTCCTCAGTTTCAATCTTTTTCTACAAATATCTCAACGATAGATTCTAAGAATTCAAATTAGTTGTGAACTGAATCTGGTGGGAAAAAAAATAAGGATTGACTGATTGGTTTGGTAAAAGGGATTATCGCTGAATTTGGTTGAACGATACATAATATAACCACATAGAGTTGCCTCAGAGTATAGAAATAGCAACTACGTAAAAATAGTTTTCAGGGTTCACCAGTGGACTAAGTTGGCTTTCGTTTCATGCGCTTGCAACCGTCTTGTGACCATGGATGAGTCGTTGCAACTTCTCTCATGTGTTGTGTTGAGTCGCTTGATCTGAGTCGAAACAAGTTTGCAAAGGTGGATAATCTTTGGAGTTGTTCCAAGTTGAAACACCTTGATCTGGGTTTCAATCAACTTGGAAAAATCTCTCACCTGTGTGAGGTGGGAAACTTCAGGTTTATGCATGTCCAGCTTTGTATTTTCTGAAGTTGCTTAACGTTTGCGTTTGTTAGTTAGTATCTTTCAAACCCATTTAGCTAGTCTTGATGGTTCTAAAATTACTATTGCTTAGTTTGAAACTACGTAGATATAAGAACACTTTAAATGCTGCAGAAAATGAAACATGCTTTAACAAAAAAAGAAAAGAAAATACATTATCCTTACTGATGTCACTTTATTGATGTACGGATGGATACATGTCCCTTATTTATTGTTATTACTGATGTAACTTTATTGATGTAGGGATGGATAATACATGACACCCGTATTCAGACAGCGCTAAAAGAAGGAGTCGTAAATTTCTTCTGTAGATCCACGACAATACTACGATCCAACTTGAATGCCCTTGCAAGAATATCCGGGTCTATCGGCGGGTTACACCCAAACACGGCGTTAGCAGTAGTGCTAAGACCTGGGTTTTGGCTGTTCAAAGCAGTGAATGCAATTGCTGGGACGTTTCCAATGTTGGCTTGGTAATGGATGAGTCCCTCTGGAAACAAAAATACATCACCTGGGTGGAGTGTTTTTGAGAAGAGACGGTTTCCATCTTGGTCTGCCGTGACAAAACCCACCGCAAGTGTTCCTTCTGTGACAACCAAGAACTCGCTGGCACGTGGATGGGTGTGAGGCGGTTCCACCCCGTTCACTGCATAATCTGCACGGGCAAATGAAATTCCAAGGGTATTTAAAGCCATAAAATTATCAGCAGAGACTAAACTGATGTTTGCTCGGTCCTGATCGGTTGGCTCTCCTGCCGCGAGCCCTGTGAAAAAGAAGTCATCTGCTGTGGCGAGCTTTGGGTCTTTGCAAAACTTTCCGTTCACAAACACTGAACATGATAACCATATAACAAAAGAAGTTTATGAAATGAGAAACCAATGAAAGGAAAGCGTAAACAATCATTATGTAAAAAACAAAAAAAGACAATCATTATGTACGCACCACCATTGGCTGAGCTGTTTACGCCGACACAGAAGTCTTGAACGTTTCTTGGATCAGAAATGGCTAATGGAAGTGTTATAGCCAAGAGAGATAGACTTGCAAGAAATGAGAGACTCTTCATTGGCATATACTAGTTGAAGCAATTCTTAATTATAAGAGAGGAAGGGTATTTGTGATGTAAGAAACTTATGAGACATGTAGAGCTCAATTTATAGATAAAAACGTAGGGCATTCTCAATTTTTCTCCGCGAGTTGAAGCTTCGCAATGGTGGCCACATGTTCAATATCCCATTAACTTCACGTGTATTTTTGGTTTTTATTTAATGGTTTGGACAACTTGCAGCTGCAACGGATTTACAATTTGTGGAATAAAATTATATGGAATGAGCTATTCCATAAGAATTCCACAAAAATGTTATCATTTACGTGGAATCAATTTTTTTTTCCATTCCATTCATTCCAATAAAATATGTGGAAAAGAAAAGGAATGAAGTTCAAAATCATTCCCAAACAACAAACATCCTGAATGTAAGGAATGGAAGAAATGGAAATAAATATTATTATCATCTAAGAATTTTAATTTATTTTATTTTCATTCCAATGTATTCCTTTAAACAGTTACCATTTGTAATACATCAACATATCCTATCACATATTTATTCCTTTCATTTTATTCCTTTAACTGCCATTATTCCATCTATTTGGATTCTATATTTTTAAATTTCTCTCGTTCAGTCTATTCCTAAAATTAACAATCAGTTACGGCCGTAATTGGGCCTTTCTCGTGTATATCTTTGCCTGTATAGGCTTACTAATAAAAATCTTTTGACGGTCAAAAAATAAAACGACAACAAATAATGATATTTTAAAAATAATATCTTTGATATTTTTGAAATACTTATAATTGCTGTATAATTTTTGCTATTAACCAAATATCATCATTAATTGAAAATAAAAATTGAAATGTTATTAAGAAAAGGGATGGGAGGTTGTGAAGATTTGAATTTTTTATAACAGTCTCTCTTTTATCTCTTAAATTGTCTCTGATTTTACATATACACTAGGTGATGACGATGTATACACGCAAATTTACATTATATTATATATTTTTGGATTTATGATTAATATTATTTGAATTAATATGTTTATACATGATTTTTTTTACTACAATAATTTTTTATATTCTCATTGATTATATAACTAACATTAGTATAACCCAAATTTTTATGATTATTTATTTGTACCAACTTTCTAATAATCAAGACTTGCATCATATAGCATAGAATCACATAATGCCAAAAATCACATAGTGCCATCATATGTTTATAGTAGTTTCCAGGAATTACATGTTAAATTATTTGATAATGTTTGAACTAAGCTAATACATCACCGACTTGCAGTGGCAATAGATGAGGTAATCATAAATCATCGTAACACAAGAATCTTCTAAATCAAGGACCAATGTGATGCTTCCAAGGTCTGAGTATATGCGCAACAAAACTTTGAGCTTAGTTTTCAAATCATTGCCTAATTAACTGAATAAAATGTCGATATCCATTCTTTGATTCACCGTTGGTATAGTTACCGAGTAAGGGCATTGCATGGAAAAACCGACTTTCTTGTTTTTAGATTGTTTTATCGACTTGCTTAGCCTATTAACTCATCACCGGAACTTCTTACGACAGCTTATGTTAATTATATACCTTAAAAATAGTAAAGAAATAACCAAAGGTTTCAACCCAAGTATCCTCATATGACAAAGATTAAATGAGATGACCGGAGCCTGATGGCCTTAAGATCATACTCGAGATCCTAGCCACCCTGCTTTGCTAAGCGTTTTGTTTAGAGAAATTGAACATATCAGATTGGCTGCATTCTCAAATACAAGGTCTAACCAAGTCAAGTTACATTCATATTGAATATGTAGTTAAAGATGTTAATTTTAGATAATCTTGCTCTGTCTATGGCCTACTGTGCATATCATTCTTTTCCCAAGTTAAAAAGCTACACAAAAGTACAAGTGAAACAGTAAAGGATTTGCATTCTTGAATGATTACCGATTTTAATTTGCATTGCTCTGTCTATGGCATAATTTTAAAGGATTTTGATTTGGTTGACAGATTCAACCAACTCCATACAAGCAGACTTTAAATACCAAAGTATTTCATCACCATCAAAGCGATAGTCAAGTCTATTCGCCTCAATTTCACAACTCCAATCAAAAACAACATCCGAATAACAATTACTACCAAAAAACAAATCAATATTTGGCAATGGCCCGAATTGGAAAGGGAGAGAGAGAGAACTAATGGTAATTGAGAGCGCCTTCGATCTGAGGTGACATACACTTGCTCTGATAACTTGGATGATGGCCGCTCTCAAGAACCGTCTTCTTCCCAAAGACCAAAGACCGATCCACCTCTCATCTTCATCACCTGCTCTGGCTCTTTCGGTATCAAACATCTCTCTCACATATATTAAAAAAACAGGGTTTCTACCAAAATGTAGAAATAAGCTTTAGATAAAATGTGATGCTAGTTTCTCCTGCTTTTTCTAGATACGAATTTTAAGAAGAGAGCATACCTCTGGTTGGTTGGTTTCTTGTACGAGCTGTTTCAGTGTCCACTTTGGTTGTCTTTCATATAGTTCAGACATTTTTGTTTCCACCTAACTATGATCGCTTCTAGACAATCTGTCCACTTGACAGACCAGAGTTCAAAACCCTCTAAATACTACAATCGTGGAAACTCTTCAAGCTTTAAATTATGATCCAAGAACTAAGACTAAATCAACGAAGCCACTAAACTATTGATGCATAAACAGTCAATTTTCAGAGAGTATACGTAACAAAACGCACGTCAATTCCCAAAAGTTTTATCAAACCAAAAAATGTGAGAAGACTATCCCGATGAAATATATTTCAAAATTTTGTAACTTAATTTGATGTCTCAATTACAATTTGTTCATTCCCGTTGTGCTAAGGAGTTTTTCTATGATTGAACTAAACAGCAGAAAGAGGTAGTTGAGAAAAGAAAATAAAGACCTTAAAGAGCTGATCAGTGAATTAAGAATTACGGAGGATATTTTTCCACTTTACGGGGCTGTGCTTCTCCTCCGCCGTCCATTTAAGCTTCTGGTTAACCTTCTCTCCTCTCAACGGATTGGATGTTGTTGATCCGCTCATATCACTTCTTCTTGTCCTCTTCTATAATTTCGTCACGATTACAGTGAAGTAAATTAGCCTTCTTATTTAATTTTTAAAAGAATGTAAACATATCTAACATATATCATTATCTCAAAATTTTGAATTTTTTAAATTTTAATAATAATTAAAACCTAAAATAATTTATTCTTACAACCAAACACAATCTTTCTTCCAACCAAAAAAAACTTTTCTAATTGTTTATTTTATAATTGTATTTAATGTTTTAAATCTGCAATTAATATTTATGTTTTTTGTATATAATTTGAACAATTTGATTTAAATAAAATATGACAAAAAATTTAAATGAATCTTTGTTTTTTTCTTAAAAGTATCTAACATATATTAAACAAGAAGCATTAGCTTAGGTGTTATTATTTTTTTTCTAATATTTTTATTGATTTATTTTTGTGTATTATCCTTATTATCAAATATTTTTTTCGAATTTAAATCAAACCAATCACAAATAGTTCGATAATTTCATTGGTTTAATAAATTAAATTAGTTACCTGTTTTATTAATGAAAATAAGAATTATTTCCATGTTTTAGATCTACGAGTATTTATTATTTTGCAACAGCTTTTATTCACATATTATACAAACGAAAAAATATTATTTTTCTAAACCTCAGACAAAAGTAAATGTAAATCTTGTTTTGTATGAGTTTAAATTAAAAACGAAAAATAACTAAATTTTCTCAAAATCTCGATTAAACATTTTTAGATACCCAAATATTTTTTTTAAACTTAATAAATTATAGAATATCTTTTAAATAATTTTTACAAACAATACCCTCACAAGTTCCTGCAGGTAATAACCTAGTTAAAATAAAACTAAGAAATAGAGAATTATTGAATACAGAATTACGTCACATTTGTAGAAACTCACCTAAAGCAATTTGGCACTCGCACTTGCACTCTCTCATCAGGTGTAGTTTTAACCAAGTATTGATGCTCGGAGCTGTCGAACCCAGAAGACACAATACACATCATTATACCAATTATGCAGTTTATACTGATATGCGCAATTTGTCTTGAACAAAACAATGATTTCAATCAGCGAATTTCCTGATTCAGGAGAAAACATAGTAATAAATACAGCTCAATAGAATATAGAGGAAATGCATTTATTTGGTAAGTCGCTGGAGATCTAACCAGACGGAATAATATGAGGCGATGGTTAACCATAGCCGAGAAATTGAACAGGAGGCTGCTCTACACAGGAGTAGTACATTCGTGAATAGAAGAATCATGTATGGCACCACAATGACTCACCTTGGAAACAAAAAAATCAAAAATCTTCCACAAAGACTTTGTAAAAGCCAACGGCTGTAAATAGTTACATATTTCCAGACCTATGTAATCCCAGAAAGAGAATTAAAGTGCTGATCTTAAAGATGGATAATTCCTTGTCTTCTACCTCTAGGTGTTCCGTATGACAGACTTTAAACGGCCGAGAAAGCTGTGCCCTGAAAATTAAGATAAACAAAACTCTTTGGAAGATTTAATCTACAATCTCATCTTCTTCGTCTTCAGAAACTGAAATACAATAAAAAAATCAATATAAGTTTCGACGACCAATTAGGAACCCTGATTATAATTCTATTCAAAAAAAAAGTTCATGGAAGAAGAAGGTACTAATAATCTGGAAACCTTAAATGAGAATAGTAGTAGCGATCTTTCAAATTCGTGAATTGATGAAAATTTGGAACGGCTGAGACAAACCCAAATATAAACATACCTTGGGAAGATTTACGTACATGACCAATGGTTTCTTCATCTTCAAGCTCATCAACAACGTCGGTAACATCACCTTCTTCTCCATCTTCCTGTTCAGCCTTCTTAGATTTGGGAGGATTTGGTTAGAGCAAACCTTTCTTCACAAACTCAGAGAACAGATCGCCTCCAGATTCCACCTCATCTCATTCCGTCTCCAGCGCATCCTCCGGACGATGGCGACACCCAGGATCTAACCTCGCCGGCAGTATCGACGGTGGCCTCACGGGATGATGCGAGTGAATAGATGAGCATCGTAGCTCTGTGATCGATTTGTCTCTTCTTGTCATCTCTCTCTCGATTTAGCAAGCAATGAGAGACGATTGAGTGATCTGATATCGAGTACATTCATTATTTATCTATACTAGACTAATATCAGCAGGTACGTGCGAGTTTTTATAAATAAAATGTATTTTGTTATAAAAATAAAATATGTATATGTGAATTTTATATTTATAAATTTTATTTATATAATATATTTGTTGGGTTTATTTTTACGGTATTCTATAAGTGAACGATACGTTAGATTTGACCGAAATGATGAACTTGGTGTTTAGGATTGTCTAACGACTTTCTACCTAAATATTACTCGGTATATAGTAGACTTCCCAATGAGTGTTTTGTGGTAGCATATGTATTTTCTCTAAGCGTCTCTCTCGAATGAGACATATCAGAAGGAAAGGTGTATAAGGAACGAAGAAAAGGTCAAAGAGGAGTAGAAAGGCCGAAGATCCTCCAAGCATTCCCCAGAGGCAAGAGGCTGAAGATCCTCTAACGTTCCCCCAAAGGAGCGCTAATTGAGATAAATATTCACTTTCTCCCTATCTCTTTACTATATCCCCACTAAGAGAGAGCTCCACCCCCACTCTCTCAATGATTCATACATTTCACATTCTCATTTACCAAATGACAGAAGAATATCACGATCCTCGGACGGGGTATCCAAACTATAAAGCCATCGCCATCCATCCGCCTTCCTGAATATCTGTTCACTGCAGGACGTAATCTAAATTGAGCATCATAGAACTTTCGGGAGGAAAACTGATAGCTTGCTATATTAGAGCATTTTAGGCGGCATTTCATGCATGTTTTCTCTTGTTCTTGTATTATTTCTTATCATTTTAGTCTCATTTACATATAAAAGTAGCCATGCATGCATTTAGATTAGGATCGCATACATTTGCATGTTCAAGGTGATTTTCAGGTGTTTTCGGGAGAGTTTTGGAGTTGGAAAGGAAGTGGAAGCAACTCATGTTCGAAGGAGATGCCAAAGAAGTAGCTTTGTAAACTCTGTATCCATATCAAGGTCCAGCATCGAAGAGAACATCCGTGAAGCTTGCTCGATATGAAACGTGGGACGAGGAAGAAAGATTTGACCGAGGACTCTGAGACTGCACCGGGGTAGTGCACCGAGCTAGGCATTCAGAACAAGCCGATACAGATGTACATAGCATATCGAGGTGTAGCGTCGAGGAGAACACCGAGAACCCACCTCGATGTCGAGCTGACCACATCGAGCAGAACATCTTCCCTTGCATCTCAATGCGTCAACGCTAAGAGTTGACCAAGATTTTTCTACTTTTTGTTAAACCTTATCTCTTTAGCCTATTTAAGCTAAACCTTATCTTTTTAAGCACTTATCTTCTTCTTTATCTTATTTTTGACCTGAGGGGAAACCCAAAAGGGGATTTGATGAGATTTTGATCAAGATTTCTACTTTAATGAAGTTTTGCACTTCTTTTGTTATTTTCCTTCTAGTCCTTGTTTAATCATGTTTGACCTGTCTTTTCTGGTTGTTTCTGTTGATTTTATGAATGTAGTGAGTAGTTTCATATTGTTTGAGGTTAAAGCAGATTTGGGGATGATTGGTTGATAACTAAGAGAGTTTTGGTTTGATTCATGCTTAGATCACTTAGCTTAGTTGTTCTTAGTAACTCTTTTAGGGTGGAACTGATCTTAGGTGTTTGCTGCATCACAAATGTTTGTTTAAATGCCTGAAAGAACTTTGTTAAGAACATTCTCCTAAATGATTATATTGGCGTTTAGGTAGCATGTTTGGTCTATAAGATTCTTGTGTTTTCATGCTGGTTTTGCACAAATACGCCATCACAAGTAGGTTTGACATGTGTTTAACTTAGACATCTCTGTTCTGTTTGTAGATTGATTGATTTAGTGGCTTGGTCATGTTCTTTGCTTGTTATTAGTCTTGACTACCCTAGATTTGATACTAAGTAATCCCCAAGTCATCATTGCTCTAGCCTTGAACCTGCGCATTATTGTTCTTTGCATTTTGATCATTTAGTTGTCTGTTTTCCTCTGTTTTTAGTTGCTTTGCTTTTATTCCATTTCCTTGCCTTGCATTTCAAGTTATTGCATTTAGCTTTCATTTTGGTTCTTGCACTTCCATTGCTTTGTTTACCCTAGTCCTGTTGCATTTAGATCATTGTCTTGTTAGTTTCTGTTGCATTTTGTTTCTTTGCATTGCATTGCTTACTTTAGTCTTGTTAGTCTTCCTTTTGTTTATGCATTTCATCTTATTTAGGTTATTAGAATCATCCTTCTTAATCATACATGGTTAAGCTTAGTTAGTGCCTTGCATCTCTTTTATTCTAGCTCCTAGATGGATTGATTAAACCTCTTCTATACTACATCTGATTAGAGAGTTAAGACTTGCAAAAGTCCTTCTTCAATTTGGCACCGTTGCCATTCTAGGATTGTTAGATAATTGAGTTTAGGTTCTTGCTTAGATTTAATCACCTTTTACCTTACTAATCACTTTACCTTTCTTGCTCTATTTTCTCAGGTACAATGGCTGATCAACAACATCACAGACATGCTCATCAAGCTCAGTACAGAGAAGATGAAGTACCAGTTCAGAGGTTACATATGCCAGTGCCTCAGATTGCTAGAATAGCACAGCACATAGGATCTCATGATGCTCCTTACCTTCATACTAGACGCAGAGATATACTTCCTCCAACATCACTTTGAGATCAAAAGCAGTTTGATTGCAATGATACAAGCCAACCGCTTTAATGACACATCTATGGAAGATCCGCTTGATCACTTGGACGGCTTTGAGAGTCGTTGCAGTTTACAAAAGATCAATGGCATCACAGAAGATGGTTTCAAACTGATGTTATTTCATTTATCTCTTGGTGAACGTGCACATTTGTGGGAAAGATCATTGCCTTGTGGATCAATATGTTCTTGGGATGATAGCAAAAGAGTGTTTCTTGCAAAGTTTTACTCTTCTACCAGGACAGCTACACTAAGGCAGAACATCTCAGGGTTCAAACAATCACAAGATGAGCCATTCTGTTTAGAATGGGAAAGATTTCAAGGTTACACTTTGGGCTGCCCTCATCGTGGTTTCTCAACAGAGTCATTGCTCAGCACATTCTACAGAGGAGTGTCACCACGGTTCAAGATGCTGTTAGACATGGCTAGCAACAACCACTTCTGGGGTACAACTGTTGATGATGGTTTGCAGCTGATTGAAAACCTTGCCTTGAGTAATGGCGACTATGTGGATGAGCAAAAGGACAGATACAAGAAGAACACTGAAACCTCAGATCACCAAACAAAGCTGGATATGTTAGCATTAAATGCTAAGCTAGACTTGTTGGTTGAGCAATCTCTACATCATCCACCAAAGGCAACAGAAAAGACATCAGCTCTTGGACATGCTCATAACTTAGAAGTTGAAGCCTACTATGCGCAGCAACAAGAGAGTTTTCATCATAAGCCTTACCAGGATGCAAGCTATGACAGCTACAACGCTTACAGTACTAAAGCGCACACAAGGGAGAGTGCTCCAATATACAATCAGTTTGGTGCTCCCATACAACAAAACCACAGGTTTACACCTTCATATGAAGAACACCAAGAGCCAGCATCACCAGTTCAGGATGTCCCTAGTCCTTCAACATCACCATCTACGCCTGATACAACCACAAATAGACTGCTTGAGCAGTTACTTGCCGCTCATACAGAGATGAAGGCTACACATCAACTAGAGATGCTTGCTCATCAAAAGAGTACAGAATGTCTACTACAGAAGTTTGAGAACGTTAGTGATGAGCTAGCTCTGCTTAAAGCCAATCTCTGTAACAGCTCAACAACAACCGCCACCCAGTTGTGCAGACAATCACTACTTGGAGTGGTAAACAGCTACAAGGACCTATAGCACCAAAACCTCTCCATGTGGACATTGAGAAGCAAAGTGGGGGGGGGGGGGGGGGGCGGGGGGGGGGGGGGTGTCTCTTAAGACTCCTGAAGAAGAAACTGAAGCTGAAGCAGAGATGGAAAGGAAAGCTGATGCAGAGCGTGTGAGAAAAGGAAAAAAAGTTGTTGATGAAGCACCAAGAGAAGCCATACAGCCTACACGGAAGGAACCTGTCTTTGTTCCTCCTCCTTACAAGCCACCACTTCCCTTTCCAGGAAGAATCAAGAAACAGTTAGTGGAGAAGTACAGACAAATTTTTGAGAAGCAGATATAAAATGTAGAGATAGCCATGCCCATGCTTGATGCCTTATTGCTTATACCTCAATATCAGTTCTTGAAGGATGCGGTTGCAGATAGACAGAACCAGCTGGAAGGAATGGTTGTTCTTACACATGAAGTTAATGCTATCATACAGCAACCACCACCACCTGAGCAGTTAGAAGATCCTGGAAGCTTCACTCTACCATGCTCCATAGGACCACTCACATTCAACAACTGTTTGTGTGATCTTGGCGCAAGCGTGAGTCTTATGCCCTTCTCTACTGCAAAGCGTTTAGGATTCACAAGCTTTAGACCAAGCATGATAACTCTTGTGCTAACTGACCGCTCTGTTAGACATCCTGTTGGACTCCTTTAGAACCTCCCTGTCTGAGTTGGAGAGATTGAAATACCAACTGATTTTGTTGTGTTAGAGCTCTGATACTTGGCAGACCCTTCCTTGCTACAGCTGGTGCAGTGATAGATGTCAAGGGAGGAAAGATAGAGCTGAATTTGGGTATTGACATGATTCTCAAGTATGACATACATGAGGTCATGAAGAAGCCAACAATACAAGGACAAGTGTTCAGAGTTGATGCTAAAGATGAGCTGAATGATGAGCTTTTTGAGGAGTTAAACACAAAGGGTAATCTGAGTGT